ACGTCAGAAATATTTTCAGTCGGAAGCAAATGAAGTATGTTGTATTCAAAATGAGGTTTATACTTACAGGTCCGTCAGCTTTCTTAATTGGCGGCAATATCGGCTTCATTTGTAATTGGTTTGCAGTCTACCTCTATGACAAAAGACTCCCCGCCAACGTGCTTTTCTATGCTCTATATTGAACTAAAAATAAATAGTATTGCCAATGAATTATGTTATTAAATACTTTAAATTCGTGTCTTCTCAATACACAGTCGAATATTTCATGTTTTTTTCTTTAAATAAAAGTATGACGATAATAAACTTAAAAAACAGGAAACATATTCATATATTTTTCTGTCAACGAGTGAAAGTGTTTTGTGTAATTCTAAGTACTTACCTGCGTTGGGCGTGGGGCGCGGCTAGCTATAGCCTTCCTTTTCTTTTCGCGTCGTTTCTCCTTCCTTTTGGCAAACCCCAAATTGAAATGAAACCAAAACAACTTGGGGGCTTTTTTCTTTTTTTCTTTTCTTCTTTTCATTTTTTGTCAATTCTTTGGTATTTTCAATGTCTTCCTTTTCTTCCTTTACCAATTTTTTCTTTTTTTATCAATTTCCTATTTCCTTCAAATGAAAGGAAATTCCGATAGAATAGTATTTTTAAAATTATTAGGGGGGGCTTACATTAATTGTATTCAAAGGTTTCAAACATTGCCATTTAAATTTAGCAAAAAAAATTAATTTTTTCCCCGATCTCCTTCACATAAAGAAAGAAATCAATCCAAATATTTAAATATCATTATGATTACAAAAAAACTATTCAGCAGAATTCAAAAACAAAACGTTCGTTGGGAACCAATAAAAATCCAAATTGCCCCCTGTATTTCAACATAAATTGACATATTAAAATGTTTACATTAAAAAAATAGATAAGTCCCCGGAGGAATATACCGGATATTTGGGGAAATATAAATAATACAAAAACAAAATAAATATAAAATAATCTTATATGTACTATTATATTATAGTTATAAAATTTTATGTATAGTATAATATTATGTAATAAATAGATAAATTTTTAATATTAAAAATATATTTATATAATAAGATTGATTATGAAAATAATTATTAAAATGATATATATGGGTATGATATATTGGGTATGTTTTTGAATAATTAAATAATAAACTTAAATAAAATTAATTTTAAATTTTAAAAACTTCCATGAATGTCAAAAAACCCCGGGGACTTAACATCTAAAATAAATACAAAAAACATTAACTAAAAAAGGTAAGTCAAAATTTTCATAAAAAAATTTATCCCCGGGGGTAATATATCATCATTTCAAATTTAGTTTCTTTTTTATTTTACCCCTCCCTTTTTTGTACAATTTATAGGCCTGGGAGTTATTTTTTTTTAATCGGTGTCACTGCTAAAATTTTGTTTTACAAAGGTACGTTTTTTTTTTCGTTTAAATCTGCAGTGTCTATTTTTAAATAAAATGAAATAAAATCCCCTTTTTTTCCTCGATTCATTTTTATTTTTTTACGTTAAAAACCCCAAGGAACAATTTTTCCTGGGGTATATGACCCATAAAATTTGTTGTTCGACCCCGGGTTGCTTTTCGCGTATAAAAATCTTTTTTTAATAGCAAAAAGCATCCTTTTAAGGGTAATTTCTGTAAAAATTGTTCCTGGAAATGCGACGATTTTAAGTAAAAAAGGTTTTTTAACAATTAATCAGTAAAGTACAATAAGCGGAAACATGGAAACTCGTTATTTTGCAAAAACTATGCAAGAATTTTCTTGAAACAGGTATCAATTCACGATTTAAACCTGTAAATGGTTTGTTTTTTTTTTTCTTAATAAAACCCTTTTTTGTATGTTATGATTGTAATCATCCCCTTGTTAAAGAATAAAAAAAAGAATTTCTAATAGAAAAAAAACACTTAAAAATTTGGTAAGGATTTATTTTTGTTACTTTTGGTTTTTTTTTTAAGTTAATTTGTTTTAAATTTAGAGAAGTATTTTTTTTTGGTAAAAAAAAATAAATAAAATGGGGTTGTAGAACGAAAAATAAATTCCCTTTAAAATATTTACCCTGTTCCCTCTAAAAGATTTTTCCCCGGATGGTTTTTTCTTTACCCACAAATATTGTTATTTATATACTCAGTATTCGTAGAAAAAGGGAATTTTTAAGAAAAAAAATATTTCCCCCTTTTTTTGCTTTTTGTTATTTTTTTGAATATTTTTCCCTTTATTTTTACACATTTTGTGTTTTTTCCCCTTTTTTTTAAAGCTGATTGCCCCTTTTTTGTGCACGTAATTTTAAATTTTCCTTTTCAAAACTTCTCGTAACCGAAAAAAAATCCATATTTTCCTTCATTTAGTTAAAACTTTTTTCCCGGGAATTTAAAGCCTCTTTAAATGTTCTTCATACAAACATTCGGTTTTTCCTTTCCCGTAAAATAAATTTACTCGATTCTTTTATTTTGCCACAAATCTTTTCCATAAGTTTCTTTTATTTACTGGGGAAAAACCCGTAAATCTGGGCTAAGTTTTTCTCACCCCTTATTAAAAAATAAAAAAGCCAAAAAAAACAAACTTTTTTTTTTATAATGACAAGAAAAAAAATTCCCCCGAAGGGTTAATTCATTTTACCCCTTCTAATTTGAAGACAAATTTAAAAAAATATGAATTTTGGTCTATTATAACTAATTATTTAAACAAAAGCGTTTTGAATTTAATTGAATGAAATAAAAGTTTTGTTAATCTATAAACATAAATACCATACAAGATTTTACCTGTACCAATTCGATATTCGAAAGACATTACATTTGTAAACCTTTCTTTTAACATATTGCGATATGTATTTTTAAACTTTAAGATTAGACAGTTAGATGGCAGAAATAAGTGCTTTATTTTATAACCATAAACATTTTTTATCACCCGTGTTAAAATGTTCTCATGTTCATTGAAAAATATATATAAGGCCCGAATCAGAGCTTTTGTTAGCACGGGGAGGCCCGATCGACACATTATCAGCCGCCGGAGTGGGTATATCGGCACTGAGAAAAAAAATACAAATCTGAAATCCGTTCCCTGCATCTATACCATGTATATGTACCATATATCTGAACCACGCATCTATATCATGTACATGTAAGGTCTCAACCCGTTCCGGAATTAGACCCAACCCATTGTAGTCTAGAAAGTAGTTCTTTAAAAATTTGGAGTGGCCTAATTTAAGTCATCTCTAGTTAGATTGGTCATAATTAAAGTGTATTTATTGCATGTGTGTAGTTTTTGTGTGTTATATGATGACTTTAAAAATTGTTTTATGTGTATTCTCCAGGAACTCATTTTTGGGGGAAGGATGAAAGATGTACTACCGGCCAGCCGTCAGGAGTTTTTAAAGTGGTGAATTTAAACAGTGTTACAACAGAATGAAGACTTCTGAAAAAAGTAGATGGCTAACCTATTATATTTTGGGCCTTATTGGACTTAGATAGTGTTAATGTTTAAAGTTGAAGACAGTATATAATTCATCAAGAACAGTGGAATCCAGAATTAAACCTCAAATGTGACTGATTTAACATAGAACAAATAATACGAAAATTCACCGGGCCGAGTCCGTAATATGTAACATGTATATGTACCTCAAATCAGTACCATGCATCTGTGCCATGTATTTGTACTACGTATTTGTACGATGTATCTGTACAACGCATCTGTACTATTTATTTGCACAATCATGCATCTGTACCTTGTTTATGTACCATTTATCTGTACCAAACATCTGTACCGTGTAAAAACTCTGCTTTTTATATAACTACAGGGCAGTATACATGTTATGCAGTTTTATTTATACCGTTTATAACAATCGCTGTATAGGTTGACAGCGAAAGATATATTTTGTTTAGTGTAAAGGAAAAACATAAAACCCACTCGTTTTACGTATTGTATGTGCGCTATGACTCTTTACACAATTCCATTTACCAACAGATTTATATCAAAGAGCTGGGGTGACTCAAGTTTATCGCCCATAATGTCAACAATAATTATATCAATAATATCGGACAAATAAAAACGCACTAAAGTAATACCTTTAAACGGAAAGCAAACATTCTAACAGGAAAATGAGATATTAACCATATGGACATGAAATAAATGTTATGGTGCTGCACCTTAACCAACCTCCTATTAATGTGCACACAACATAGAATCATTTATTATTAACATGATGAACAACTGTAAAACTCAATTTTTCGAAACTTCATGAATGTTTTAATCAGTCATTCTAAATAAACGAAGAAAAAATATGTTAATAACTTAATAGTGCTATAATGCGTGATGTTTAGACTCTTAACAATGCATATGCGACGCGCTTGAGAATAGATCTTAATAAAATTTCTTAGAATAAAAATTTGATCTTAATTAGGACAATCAATAGCGAGCGTGTGTTTGATTTTTTAACCAAATATACAAATAAAGTGAATACGCTTTAAACCGTTTAAGCATTTTTGTCAACAATTTTTTAGCATTTCATCATCAATGTCAACAAGCAAATAAAATGAACATGATTCGTAAGGATTAAAATGACAGTATAATTATTCACTAAAGTAATATCGAAATTGCTCAAAAAGTTGCCATGTTTACTGATAGTGAGCTGTTTATGCTATCATTACTAACCACTTTCATTACTTTATGTATATTCAGTTTTGAGATTTAATTTTGTGGAAAGCGCTAATCATATTTCTGCCAATCACGGCTATACTATATAAATAAAACGGTGTCATAAAACTCATTTATAGCCGATACACCAAAGTTAATTGTTTGTTCTAAACTTTATGACATGAATTGGTGTAAAACATGATCAACAACTACGCAAATATCTTTTTCTTTTACATTGTATTCACAAAGATTATACATATATTACAATGATACAATTTAACAAATTCCATTTGAGATCTACGTATACATAAACAAGAGTTTCAAGAAGTTATTTTAAAAGACGTACACAGTACGTATAAAAAATAGCATATAAACATGTTAGTACTTTATAAAACATATTTCATTAAGTTACACAGTATTTTTAGTAATAAGAAAACGTTATCTTATAATAGAATCTACTATCACACGTGATATTACTAGTAAATTAATACTTAATACCCTATCAATAAGGATGTAAAACATAAAACAAAAATAAATATATATAATTAACAATGTTACATCGTATGGTACAAACTTTTAAGATGCATCTTCTAAAATAAAACAATTTTTACATTTCCTATCATCAAAAGGTGCAACACTAGGTTAATTCCACCTGTCAGTTTCAATCTCAAGTCTCTGTGTAACGAAACTCTAAGCCTGGGAAGTGCACTTCTAAAATTAAGTAGTATTGAAATCTAAAAATCTGCTAACAATACATAAGAACGAGCTCTAGTTGAGTCATTTAATTCTTAAAACCAATTTGGACAAAAAAACATGATTTACTCTTGGTTTTACTAAACTACATTACCTACACCTTGAGATAACCATACATAATTCAAACCAATCGACTGTAATAAATCTCTAGTACTTCTAACCCGTGTTTTTGTTAGATCATATACAGTAAGTCATAAACTATTTTTACATATTTTACATCTTCAAGTTGTATAATTTTTAGCCAGTATTTTATTACACTTACAAATCTTCTGAAATTCAAACTTGTTCTTTCTACAGACAAGTTTTCCATAAATATAATTTAAAAGAGTTTGTACATACAACAACATCAACAAAAATACTTATCTTTTGAGTATTTAAATATTTTGTCAAATTATTTTACTTTTATCTTCTTGTATTGATACATTATCTCAAATTCTGCTTTAAAAGGTTTTAATATGTCAAATTCATATGACCAATCATTACTACAAAAAGTAGGCTTTATAAATACAAAATCCTATAATTGTGAGTATGATATTTATGTATTGTCCAGATCAGGGAAAGAGCTGATGTTGATCGTAACAATTCAGTAATAGGAAAAATTTGTAATCAAAAGAAAAAAGGGGGCCAACGACATAAATTATTTTATGTGTTCATAAAATCTTATTTATATTAAAATATTTTTGTGTGTGATTTTTTGTAACTGAAAATCAAGATATATACATGTAGTTTTATAACCTTTCTTTGAATTTCATTGATAGTGCATTTCATGTTAATTACTACAAATTTGAAATGTTTATATCGATTGTGTTGCATTGCTCAATCTAAAGGTTAAATAGTCAGACATACATGTATTTTATATAAAATCAAAGGAATGACGAGCACAATTTTACCATATTCATTTATTTGTAATGTGGACTTCAAACATGACAATGATTTGACAATATAGATGCAAATTGCACTGGGTGGTTAAAATATGTCATTAATGATTAATAACAGTTCTACATATATACATAAATATGTATTCAATGAACACAAAACTTGCGCGTAACAAGAGAAAAGTATTCTTTGTAATATAGTTTACTATAGAAATAACACAACAGATAAATGATAATAATGATGAGACATATTGTTAAGGAAATACTTTAAAAAATCAATTATGTTCACTCTGCTAAAAATAATAATTTAAGATTAATTTGTATAAATCATTTGTATAATTCTCTGTTAACCATGTACTTACCCTTATATTATGTTTGTATTATATTATATATTGAAATGGCTGTAAATGTTGTAACATTTAATGCTGAATAAATATTATGTTATGTTATATAACTCCAAACGCGTGCATGTATATCAATTATGATGAATTAATATATATATTTATGATGTTGACATTTTATGTGGCTAGGTGTCATGATATAAAGTGGTCTGAAAGCTCAGTTTAGAGTTGGAATTTGGTTTTGACCAGAGTAAACGTTGTACACTTGTAGTATTAAAATGTATAACAGTTTTGCGTTTCTTAACTCCACTAGGATTTTTTTTATGAATTTATATATATATTCCATTTTAGATTTCCCTCTTATTTATTTGACCGACACTAATGTGAAGTGGGTTTATTTAAATACTTCATTTGCTTAGATTTGATGTATAGTTCTTGAGACCATAAATTCAACACGTGTACCATTTATCTTCTGAAGTTTTTCTGTTTTAAAGTTCTTTTTTCATGAGTGAAGAGTTTTCATAGAACATTTCCGGGCTGGCGGTATAACTAAAAAAGAGAAAGACTTAAAATGAGAAAGTTTAATTCAACGACGCAGTTGCGTCTATCTATTAAGTTTATTTAAAATAACACTTTGATCTATTTCACCCTGATTATCAAGAAAATCATAATTAAACAAAACACACGGTTTAATCCATGTCTAAAAAAAACAAACATTTGCTATTTATAGTAATGAATCTATTTAAAAAAAATCTTTTGTTTTCTTATTTGCTCAAATATAAATATTTGCTTTTCTGACGTTTATCTATATTTGTACACATTCTTAATAAAATTGTGAGATATTACCACATTTGAGGTGTTTTGAGACCTTTAATGGGGTTTGTGTAAATAACCTAACATGTCTTGTATTGCACGGTTGTTATAACCGATAAACTTGTACTCAATATAAACTAGTTGGTCAGCTAACTAGTTTATGAATAACATAAAGCAAATAATTTCATTATGAATGATTTAGAAAAAAAAAAAAATATATATATCTATATAAGTTTCATTCACATGACAAAGCTTTTTGAACTTGATGTGGTTGTTCATCTCACAAACTTCCTCCCCAACTCAAATGTCCTCAGATCCAGTTAGCTTTTGTCAGCGATTCTACTCGGAAGGGCATCTGACAGTAAGCTGGAAAGTTACGTAATGACCTCTTAAAGAACTATGGTGGTGCTAGGTAACCCCCTCCATTCAACTGGGAGATTATTGCAATGCTATGAGGCCCGAATACTATGCGCTATTTCACGCGTTAAGTCAAACTTTATACATTATAAGACTTCACTTCTATTGAGAATGAAATCATATTGCTTAAACAAGCAAATTTCTGTAATTTTTTAGCAGTCAAATTGTATAATGTATGTTTTGTAATGTTGTAAGATGGTACGTCTGTTTTTTTTTTGTTGGACCGCTGACGTCATCATGGATATTTTATTGTTTAAAACTCCTCTGACACTTTACTTTTACAAATTTAATAAAGTTATGATGTCATAAAGTTCAAAACAGTTCCTGTCTTGTTAACTATTATTCTAATTACTGTTATAAAAGTTTTTATCCGAGTGTAAAAACTAATTTCTTCCGTTTACTCGACGATTGAGAGTGGTTCTTTGAATCGTTTCTATTTGGTATTTGTTTTCCTTTAAAGATAGCTCTCATACCTGTACGAAACCTCGGATCTAGAATTCCATATAGGATGGGGTTTATAACCGTATTAATAAAGTATAGCCTCCAGAAAAAGAAGAAGACTACCTTCTGTGGATTAGACAGCGTTTTAAGAATACCCTCTGTTCCCGCCACAAAGCTGATGAGAATGACGTACAGCAGCATCGTGATGACGAACACAATTGTCAGAACTAGCATTATTACTGTTTTCTGTTTCCGCCGGAAGTCAGATACTCTATGGTGACCTGATTTTTGCCGCCGATGATCAACATGTTTGTTAATGTTAGAGAATGAATTGTCATGAACCTTAATCGGTCGGGTACTTACTTCTGCTGTATTTCTGTCCTTTTTAACATCATCTTTTACAAAATGACTTCTGATATCAATGTCGAAATGAAAATCTATATCTCGGTTAGAAGACTGTCCACTGCAAGAGCCACCACGTTTGTTGCGATTTGATATGAACGAAACCCTGGTGTGTACATTTGTCTTTGATTCAGACCGGCGGTCTTCATAATCATTAGCGTCTTCCTTTCCAGCTTCACAATCAGGAGATGAATTATTTTCTTCAAGATTGGTTAAATTATGCGTTCCGTTTTCTTCACCATTCTCTAGATGACGCGTTATCGTCAACGGTTCCGTATTGACAGATTCGATGTCTGTATCTGTTGCTACAGTGGTGAGAGAAGCATCTGACGTATACACAGAAGATATACCATTCGTCACGGGTAAAGCGAGACTTAAACTTTTCTTACCAAACAACTTCCGGGCAGTTATTATGTTCAAAGAGCAGACGACAAACAAGATAAGACCAACCGGTAAAATGTAGACACAACAAATGTACACAAACGGGTAAATATCATTTGCATATTCCCCTGATTTCTCGCATATTGAAACAGTTAAATTCAACCCATTATGTTGATAAATATATGTCTGTTTTCCCCAAAGTATCGATATAGGTATAGCCACCATAGAAGCTAATATAATTGAACATATACACAACTTCAAAGCAAAGGATGGTTGTATTTGCCATGCTAGAGGTTTGCATATCTTCCGGTATCTGTCAAAAGCTAGCAGGAGTAGTATAGACGCCGAGCCCCATGCTGTTTGCACATTGATGTACGACTTTACTCTGCAAATCCAATCATATTTATACGTGTACCAATTCATTTGTGAAAATATTTCACCCGGAAGTGTGGTCAAACAGCTCGTAAGGTCAATAACCGCCATTGATAAAACAAAGTACCGGAAGTTACTCCGCTCATATCTCTTAGTATAAATCAATAATATCAAAATATTCCCGAAAAGTCCAATGAATGCTTCAATGCCGATAAAAATAGTTACAGGTAACACCACCATGGTAAGATTCCTGTTTAGTTCCTCTACGATATATATGGTATTGTTTTCCATGGTATTTGATTGTGGAATACCGTATGCTATTTACAAATCATTCACTTATTGTTCTGAGAAAATTTCAATAACCGATAACGAATCTTTACCGCTGTCGGTGCATGGCGTTTCAATAAAGTTGTCAAATTTTATTTTAGTTTAAATCTTATATTAGTATTTAGATTCAAATAAACGTGAAATCAATATTAGTTTTAACTATTATAAATTCCATCTTCAAGATATTTGTTCAATAATTTAATTTGATTTAATCTAACAACTATTTTGCGTTTTAAAAAGTAGCTTTCGTTTAAAATAACACTATGACTTTCCCTTGAGAATCTGTTAAAAGCGTCCACGTTGAAGGATAGTTTGCTGTGTTAAACTTGTCAATACGCAGACATTCCGTTCCGTGCCGTAACTATTCAATTTATGACAAATGGTTATAGCAATAGCTTCCTATTCAATGAAAAATCTGTTGAGAAAAATCGCTATATAATATTGTTTTGCTATCTCTTAAAGATAAGCCACGATTGGGTATTTCTGGTTAAACAACATGTTTGTTTCATGCGACATTTACAAGGATATTGGTTCTATTCAATATCCGGTCTGTCACTGTTTGCAAATATTTTGTTAACATTATTTTTAAACATATTTTATTAAACTGGAAAATAAAACGTGTACATTAATTTCCAGCTTAACTTGTCAAAATTAGAATCGTGATAATAATGTTTACCTATAATCATTGTTCAATGTAATTATTTGTGGCGGTGTGGCCGAATGACTAATAATCTAAGGATTGCTGACCGCATAGATTCAAACCCTATTAGGGGCTAGACGTTGTTTCCTTTAGCAAGAAACTTTACATCTATTGCCTAGTACTGGTTGGTTCCAGTAACGGATTCGAAAGTGTTTCAATAACTTATAGCTTCCAACACAATCGAACTATTTGTATAAACTAATGTTATTATTGAGTTAAAACAAAGAACGAAATAATTATAAAACTGGTCAATATCTACCACAGTGGACAAACGGAAGCACTGTATCATTTATTGCGACTCTAATAATACAGTGTATGATAAACTCGTGTTACTTCTGATCACTGCATGATGGATATACTAGTAATAGTACAGAACATTTATTCTTTCAACTTGTACCGTTTCATTTTGTGTCGGCACAGGAAGAAGCGTTTACCCACTTTAGTCTGAGCTTATGAGACAACACTGTCTCTTATTGTTATCTGTTGTTCACGACGATTGGGTATTTGGCTACAATTACTCTAAATATAATATCCCGTCCTTTGTTTTTATATTGCATATGGATTTAGCAAGCGTACTTGATGAAATTCTTATTTAATACTAAAGATATTATTTCCGACGATTTATATAGGTGATCAAGTATTTCGATGCAATTTTTAGAGGTTCTAAAATGCAATTTATATAAAATGAAATATGGAAACAATCGGTATTTCTGCTACAGAACAATTTAACTGTCTATATAATGTACATCGTTTTAGGACATTATGCGTACTAAAAGTGATATAATCATAATCGTCTTAAGGAAAAACTGAGAAAAAGTAATGTTGTCATCGTGTATAATTAACGGTATTTTAATAAATGCTTACTATGAGATTTATATTATTTTTAAGTAATGCAAAGTAACTGGGTGTCACCTTTTCTCAAGATAGCTTCTTAAAGGGACTCCGTTCAGATTTTTAGACATGACGGGACTGGAATTGTTTTTGAGATGGATGCTCCATTTGATGTAGGTCAAGGTTAGTAAATTGTGTGCAAAATTTCAGATCATATGTTTTCAAGAATAATTATTCTTATTGTAAACAATGACCCAAAATGGACTAAAAAAAGGACAAAAATACGATTTTCATTTTCAATCTGAGCATAATTCTTAATTTTCTTTTGTATATCTTCCTATTTAGAGTGCCCAAGTTGATCTGTGTACGAAATTCAAATTTTATGTTTTTAGGCTTTTGGACTGTAGTGGAGTTCCTTTAAAAGTGACAACTGACTACCATCGTTTAATAGTCGATTGTTTCTGCTTCTGTAAAAAACAATATGTATCTGTTCTTCTATACAAGTATACTATTTTGTCATAGACATTTAAATTATTTAAAGGGTATAAATCTCTATCTTTTAAAGTTTTTTTTATACAAATTATAATTGCTCCATAATGTTATGTTCGATTCTCGAAAGAAATGCCAGCTATAAATTACATCATTACATTCTTTATATTATTGTCAGCTTTTATTTCTCTATTATTTACCTATACATGTACTCTATTATATTGTATCAGGTTTAAGTTACATTATATATGTGCTTTCCCTATAATATCATTTCAGCTACCGTAAGATATAATTTTTGAGGGTCAAAATGGGTTTAGACCAGGTCGAAATACTGTAGATGATACTCCATCTTTAACCAGTATTATTGATACTAGAAAGAAACATATTTTGTCCTCTTTCTGCTCCTTTATATATTTGAAAAAGGTCTTTGACTCAATTATACACTAAACTATCAAGATTTAGTTTATTGGTCAAACGATAAATGCTGTTCAGACAATTTATCAAAATGTACTATATTTTCTCAAATTAAATAACTTCAACATTGATTGGTTTCATGTGACAATCGGACTAAAACAGGGTTGCTCCTTGTCATCGGTACATTTTAACCTGTGTATTTATATATTATATTATATTTATGACCAAGACTTGAAACTGAAAGCAACGGGCAAAACGGGTTGATATTGTTGGTCAAAATATATCAATCCTGTAAGAAGGTACAATTTAAAATTATGTTACACAGAACAAATATCTTGGTCTTGTATTGGCGGAACATCTTGATTATTCTATTACAGCTAAAACTGTTGCTCAGGTTGCTCATAGAGTATTAGGAATGTTAACTGTTAAACCTAAAGCTTTCGGAGGCGTCCTTTATGAAGCATATAAAACAATGTACGAAACTATTTTCATGCTAGTAATCATATACACATACATTGTACTCTGTTTAGGGCTGTGATACAGTGTCTTGTACTGATGCTGTTCAGAATAGAGCGGGAGCGGTACTTTCATGAATGTTGGAAGATATACTTAAAAAGCTGCGATATTGGATGGAAGCCTATAATACATTTTTGCTGGAAGGCTGTGCTAGCAAACTGGACGAGATTTAGTAATATGAATGCTTACACGTTAGATAAACAAACATGTGTATGTGTTTGTAACTTGTCAGGTGATGGATGTAAGAATTTGAATTTCAAAGTCTGTACAATGTTTAATAAATATAAGATACAAACACAAGAGTTGTTTAACATTATATTATCTATTAAGTATTGGAAAATTATATTATAAGGCATAATGAGACAAGACAGTAAAGGCGTTCCATACAGGCCTACATAAAGATTTTGATGTAAACAACATTGATTTCACTTAATAGTAAAACATGCTAAAAGCATATTAATTTGTTACCACAGAAACGACTTTCCAATATTAATGGTAATGTGTACCCCTTCTCATAAGTTAACATTTAAATCGCTAAAATGGTTTGCGTGAGGTATTATAGCAATACACTATGATGCATACTCGCAAGGGCACAAAAACATTATGACTGGTAAGCAATCAGACCAAGCGAAAATCTTACAGAATCAATTACAAAACTCATTCTTTATAGCGGTATATCATAAAAAGACAAGAAGGTCATACACATACAATGTTCAAAGTACTTTTTAATATATTGTGATTTCCAGTCAGTCATAAACAAATTTCATATGCATCATTTTTTTAAAGCTGTTGTTAAAATATCTTCAATAAGCCTTACCCTTGATCATTCTTTACCACCTGTATAGAGCAAGGTCACCAAGTATAACCAGGTTCTATCCTGTTGGACGACTAACTTTTAATTTTCATCCTGGCCAACCTTAGCTGGATAATAGACAGTTTCAAAAATGGAAACTGGACAAGCCCATTTAAGACATTTAGTCAGTTGAAGATTAAATATAATTAAAAGCACATTATGCTTCATAAATTTTTTTTTCATTCTTTAAAAAGGACAAATATGAGCTTTATAACATTTAAATAAAGGTTTTAGAGTATTTAACACGCTTATCACTTCAAGAAAGTAACTGTTAATCTGAAATTATTCGTCATAAAACTTGATAATAATCAAGATACAACATATCCTGTTAGATCTGTTCCGTGTCAAGTTCACATTTAAAATAAATCGTGATGTGATTTTAATATGATTAGAAATTTTGTATGGGGAAAATAACTACTCACACAAAAGTAAATATTTGTCTTTAATAATCATAATATTTTCAGAGAAAATTCATGTAACATGTTCACAAATGTAGAACTTTGATATTTTATTAAACACTAATAATACAATCAAACAAACAAGTGTCATGCTAAACAAATCTAGAAGATAACCTATATTATACTTGGGTTTCCCCACGGGAATTTCAAAAATAAAAATAAATAATTAAATAAATGAAACAAAGGATAAGATCGTCATATATGTCGCGTATAATTTTCTCATCAAAGACGTTAGAAAACATCCTTTTTTTGTATTAAAAGTATATACAGTATAAAGTGTAGACAGCCTGTTTACACAGATTTATGAACTATCTTGGCCTGACCTTAATTACTTAATAAGCTTACTCCTATACCGCAAGCAAAATCAAATATTTATCATACAACTATTAGAACTGCCCGATAACACTTGCCAGATAATTTTTTTGTCAGTAACTAGTTTAGGAAAATCCTATGCTAGTTAAAACTTTCATTATTTGCTCTTGGAAAAAGTATTAACATAATTAGTATCCACGTCATTGTGAATGTATGTAAAGGATAGGAAAACGAAACTTTTTAACTTTTAACTATGAACGATATTGATACGTCAATAATGACATTATTTATTATTTCAAATAATAATAATTTGTTTATCTTTGTAAATATTGTTCCGAGTTGTTATTTTCTGCTGTATGGCAGTGATACTAAGTTTGTCCCGTCTGTCCCATCAAAGTCAGTCATAGAACAAGCACGACATGTTATACTTTAGCAACAAAATAAATGTCTTTTCATAGTTCATAAAGTTAAAAAAAATAATAATAGGGAAACGACATTGGCCGGATGAATCAAGATTTTTACTCTTTAATATTATAAGTATTTTATCCGTACATTCAAGTATGTTGGTTCACATATGTTCATGTCACTGAAAGGGCTAGGTATGGTGAAAAAGAACAACATATAACTGATAAACTTTAATATACGGTAATTGAGTGACAATGGAAAAAAAAATAAACAGAGTACAAAGCTATAACTTTTGACATATTTCTATTATATCTATAAAGGTAGATTCCTGACAAAAATTATCATAGAATGTCAAATAGAAAAAAACAACAACAATGCTTTTTAT